TCAAGGACTCGTTACAGTCAATTCTAACAGTAAAACTACTGTGAGCAGACACTCAGTATCCAGTTGTCACTAACACAAGAAAATCTCTCAGTTCCCCTTGGCTTTCCCTTGGAAAGCCATTAGGCAAAAGTTTTCGTTCAGGTATAGTCTGACTTCCCCAGTGGACAAAGATAAGGATCCATCAACTCAAAAAGGCAAACCAGGTCTTACTTTGAGTCACAGTACTGACCTTGTGTGTAGCTTTGCTAATCAATGGAGCTACTTCTGAGGGAAGACACAAACTGGCGAGGGTTTGGTTCTTGCTCAAAGTTATGGAATGGATTATAAAAGAAAGGGAGAAAAAGAATCTAATCCTTGCAGCAAGTTTTATTCTTCAAACAGCTACAGAGCACATTGAACCTGAAATGTAGCTCTTCATCCAAAAGATTGAGAGATTTGCTTTAAAGGAAAAAGGCTTTTTTCTGTACCTGCTGTTGAAATGTTCCAAATCCCGCTGTGACAACACGGACAAGAATCCCCCACAAACTGATTTACTCATTTTGCTACTGCAGCATTCGGGTACAAAACCTGAATATTTGATCAAAGCCTAAGTTATAAGGGCCAGCAATTTTCCAATGCCTCTCAGAACTCCTACAGTATCTCCACAAGAACATCCAGAATTCTTCTGAGCTCGCTTAGAACACGAAAACAGATGGAAATCTGCTCACGGATCCAGCATTGGTCAATGATGCAACTGCTCCCGAATACTCACCACCAGCAGGAGGCTTTCTTGCCCAAAGCTCTGCCATGGGGAAGCACTGTGAGCACACTCCCCAGTCTGCTGTTGGCAGGAACACTCAAACTGGTTTGAACTTCACTCTCCAGCTGCACAACCAACAACCTTTTCCAGATTCAGCTGCGCTAAAGAAGTCACTGATCTCACTTGCAGTCACCATCTCCTCCATCTGCCTGTTAAAACTGCTCCTCCAAGTCTCCCAATTCATGTTTCAATTTGACAGACTGAGACCTACATCTTACATGGTTAGAAGTTGGGAAATTCGTCCCAATAACAGCTCATTTAACAGACCAGAGGAGATGACAGAGGGCATGAACAAAAAGCCAAGGCTGTGACACCACGATGGCCTCTTTCACAAGGGCAGGTATTTGCCAGGAGGGCATCTGTTTATGTCCTGCTTCACAGTAATGTAAACTACAATGCTTTAGGTGGACACCTACAGAGAGCTGTCACACCTCAGCCCTTGTACCCAAAAACACAAAACTCAGCACCAGACTTTCGCTAAACCAAATCCAACAACGACACCTTCTGCACCTTTTAGAGGTTATTTTTAGACCCAATAATGCAAGTTATCAGAAATTATGCTTTCAAAATGAAGGAACAACTATGCTATGCTGTTTAGCCACAGCTTTAATGATATTTGGGACGCTTGTCCTGACAAGCTTCAGCCTTTAGACCATTTCATCCACTACGGGACAAAGAGTTTTCATACATTGCAGTGCAAACTTGATAACAAACCTGGGGAGGGGGTAGAGGAGAGAGCTGAGCGTTAAATAAAGGACAGAATTCCATTTTATACACAAATTTGAAGAATAATAAGAATTGATGTTGGGAAGGAGATAAAAGAACAGAAACTTAGCAGCAGATGAAAAAAGAGAGATGAACAATGTAGTATGTTTCAGGAGAAATCAGTGGCTGCTAAGAAATAATGGCCCTAAGAGATAATGGCCTTAAGAGATAATGGCCCATTCCCTTCCAGAGATCCAAGATAAAGAGTAGAAAAGAAACCCTGGAATAAGCATTCCACAGCCATCCCACTTGGCTGCAGCAGTCTGGATAGGAACATACAATAATCAAATTTAATATTCTTGAAAATTTAATTCTATATATTGGAGAAGAGTGCATATCATAAAATGACACGTTGACAGGATTCTCATAATACATACACTGAACTGCAGGAGACTCATTTATGCACAAGAGTAGCAGTGCAGGCTGTTCTGTAATTAAGGCTGCTGCACTTCCATAAATCTGGTTTCAGACATTCTTTCCTCTAAAGCACTCCTTCAAAAAGTTACGAAACCAAAATGAGATTATAGGCAGGCCGAAAGTGACGTTTTCCCAGCAATAGTCAATCATAATCTGTTGCTGACTTATGATCTCCTAGAAATAGAGCTTCCCAACACCACCTTCAAAAATCTCTTAACATTGTCGCACAGCACATCAGTCCATCACCTCAAAGAAAAGTCAACGAAGAAACAGAAAGAAACACATAAAACCTACTTTAATGGGCTTGCAAAGATGCTTCCCATCATCCAGAGTGAGCACCACATTAAGGCATTTCCAGAGATCCTTCTTGCCTAAAGAATACGATGTGAATGACCTTATTATCCAGGTCTGGCCTCGCCAAACGACTCATCTTTCCATCACTAAAAGGCGCAGTTTGGAATGCAGCGGTCAACAAAAGCCCCTGGGTCATTCCTATCTGGCCATTAGCAGGTGGGATGGACCCGGGAAAGCTGCCACTAAGAGCCTGACCCGGCTCCCAACACTTCTGCAGTCCTTGAGCCCAGCGGTGCCAGGATTACAGGATACTCTCCCACTCCTAGGGAAAGCTCCTCAGCTGTCACACCCCTGGATTACAGCACTTTGTATTTACCGGCTGCTGCTTAACTCTGCTCGTACCTGCGAAATAAGAACTCGAGTGTGCTGAAAAATTTCCGAACTAATACACTTCAGCTAATCAGGGCATCCAAAGCTGTTGCTATTTTTATGCAGATGGTAAAAGTTAGAGCACTGAGTTGTTCAGCTCACCAAAACTGAGCCATGCTGTCAATATATATTAAAATATGTTTATAAAAATGCACTGCATGCTACATTGCAGCCAAGTCAAAGTTTATACTGATCTCATTACTTGACAACTCACTCGTTGTGAACACGGTGTCAGAAGGCCCATTTTCCCCAGAGTCCCCGGAAATGCAACTGTATCAACTACTTTTAAAAGCCTGGAATACAGCACCTTGAAACTTTAAACATATAATTGTATTTAAAAAAATACGGCGCTACATCTCTGAAAGTCAAATTAACTCTGAGGAGAAGTAAGTGTGGGAAAATGGTGATACAAAGACATGGACGTGATTTAAAAGAGGTTGCTGTAGCAAAGTGATAGCACCTTTCGACTGAAAAAACCCAAAACTATGGAATTTGTGTGTTATACTCAGAGCTGTGCCTAAAGCACCTGATCTAGAACGGTGTGAAGCAGTTTCAAAGAAAGACTTTAAGTAAGAAATATAAAATAAGTAAGACTACGGTGTAAGGCAAATATATTGAAACTTGACAAGAAATGAAAATCAAAAACTTAAACATAAGCTAAAAGAAGAAAAAAAGACATAGAATTGTGCTTAAGAGGAGAAAGAACAAAGTAGTAGTAGCACTCTCCTCAAATTTTCCTTTATTCCTCTTAACAGACACACAAAATTTAAAATATAAACAGAGGACCACTGCAACAGATTAGAGTGACTGACCCTTCCCAAATCTTTAACAAATATTTTCTGGAAAACTGCTACCAAACCTAACCCAGTACACTCCACAGCCCTCAAAAATACTGGTATTTAGTCAATTCAGTCAATCCTAAGAAAAGTGGTAGTTGATCTTGATAGTAAAATACAGTCTGTAAAATAAAAAATGACTGAGTAATGCAGTTACAAGTACTACTTTTTTCACTTTCCAAGATTTAAAGACACGAGTGTTGACATTATCTTTACCACTGGGACTTCTCTAAATTGAGGAGTACAATCTATAAATTCCTAGAAAAAACTCAACTACTTGACATCACAGTACTTGCTGTGGAACAAATGCTTAATATTAAGTGCATGCCAATATTGTAATTTCTAACAAGCCAATGGAAGACTGTCAAAAAACCCCATGTTTCCATTGCTATTTGCTTCTCCTGAACAGCAAATTGTTTGAATATTTTGAAAAATAATTTCAGAACTTCATTGTCGCTTTCAGTTCGACAGTAAATACATACTCCTAATCTAACATTCACAAGACATACTGCCCTGTAAGATTGCTCCTTAATGTTCAGGTAAAAAGCAAGGTCTCAAAGACACTACTCCTTGTAGAAGACAAGACATGAAAAAGCAACGCCGTTAAAATCTGCAGGTTAATGTCTCAACGCAAAAAAGCCAATGTAAGGCACTGCAAGGGAAAAAACCCGACACATTCCCTGTTCTGCATGGGGCACACAAGCTCTCTCCAGCTTCAGGTTAACGAGAAGGGGGCATCAAAATTAAGAATTAAGACTATTAACAAACCCACTCCAAAACACCAAACACTATGGCAGGTTAGACCATCTGGCCGTGCCCCCTAAGCAAAACGTGCACCACTCTTTTGAGGTTTTTTTTTTCCATCACCTTCCTAATCCAGCTTTCTACAGACATCACACAAATCCACCAACATGTAGGTTGTGTGCAAATCTCTTAGGGTGAATAATCTGAATAATTCTTAGGCTCCATGCAAGAAACAGCGATGCCTCGCTCCTTTTACTGTCTCATCCCGTCTTCCTCATAAAGCGAAACCATCCAGTGCTGAAAACTCATTTTAAAAACGTTATTAAGAGATGGCAAAAACCCAGGCTGTGACGTAGTTTGCTCCCGAGTCCACTCACACTTTGGATTATAACATGGTAGATACATCCACGCGCAGCATTGCCCAACATGCAGCAGAAATAAAAAATAAATAATAAATAAATAAAATAATAAATCCATAATGCACGACCAGCGCTGTGTGCCGCTCCCCGGCCAGCCCTGGCTATATTAGGGCAGGGGAAGGGCCGGGTTGGCCCCGCCGGACCGCGACCCCCGCCCGGGCCGCGCCCCCGCTCCCTCAGCGCTGCCCCCGCTCTGCGCACTGCGGCCGCGGCCCCCCCGCCCTCGCTCCCTCCCTCAGCGCACCGCGACCCCCGCCCGCGGCAGCGCCTTCCCCGGCGGCCCCGCGGGCTCCTCACCGGGCCGGAGCGCTCCTTTCCCGGCCCCTTCCCTGCTCCCTCCCGGGCCGCGGCGCCCGGCGGGCGGCTCCTCTCCTCGCACACGCGGGGCGCCGATCGCAGCGCCGAGCGCCGCCCGCGTTCCTCCTGCTGCTGCCGCTGCTGCCGCGGCGGGGAGAGGGACCCCGCCCCCGGCGGCCGCCGCCGCCAATGGCCGCGTGGAACGCCGATGATGGGCAGCGGCGCGGACCAATGAGCGGCGCGCCGCCCTCCCCCGGCCCTGCCGCGGAGTGGTGCCGCTCGGCGCTGACGCGAGGGAGAGCCCGCCCGGAGCGCAATGACCAATGGAAGGGCTCCGCCGCCTTGACGGACAGTCAGGAAAATCAATGAGAAGCGCGCACCGGCACCGCAAGGCCCGCCCGCTGCGCGCCGCTGATGGCCGCGGGCGGACGGGGCGATCCCGCCGCTGTGGCGGCGTGGGGTCCTTGTGCTCCCCGCGCCCTCCGGCCCCGGCCGCTCCCCCTTCACCCGCGTCCTTCCCCTCTCGCCGGGTGTGCTGTGTATTCTGAGCAGCAGCGCCCTGACCCCTCCAGGTGCCCCCGCCAGCCCTCCCGCACCTCGGCGGGGCAGGCTGGGAGCTGTAGTCGGGGCTTTCCCTCTCCCCTTCTCGCCCTGCTGGCGCCTCGCCCCGGTTCTCACCGCTCTTATCTACGCCGAGAGCCGGCGGGGTGAACCCCGTCCAGTCCGGCCCTCAGCGCCATCCCCGCAACCCCCTTCCCGCCACCCCGCTCCCTCAGCCCGTCCGCGCTCCCCCATCCCGTCGGGACAGCGGCCGGGGCGAGGCAACGCCGGGCGGGAGTACGATTTTTAACTCGCTCGCGGGGAAGCGGGGCGGGGGAAGGGGAGAAGGGATGGGGAGGGCAGAAAAAAAACAAGGAAAAGCGGTTCCCGGGCCCCAAACGCTTCCCGTCCGTGACCCCCCGGCCGTGCGTCACTTCCCGGCGGCCGTTCGAGCGCGGAGCCCGCGAGGTGAGGGGGGACGGGGCGGCTCCATCGGTGCCGCCAGCCAGGGACGAGCTGCCCGCTGACTCCTGTTCCAGCCCGTGCCTGTGCCAGGAGATCCCTCTGGTTGCGTTCTGGTGCTGCCAGTGCCGGCTCATCGCAGATAGTTCTGCGATTGCAGCTGCGGGGAGTTGCGTAAGTAAAATCAAAAAACTCGCCTCCAGGCAGGTGTTGAGGTGTCTGTTTTCCTCAAGCCTGACACGCCGGCCTGTGGAAAAACTGTTCTGTGCTCTGCCTGATTTGCTTTTTAATGCTGTGTTCCATTGGCTCGGGTAGATGTCGAGTTCTTTATTATCCCGCTGGTGGCTCCTCAGGACAAGAAAGACAAGGAGCTGCTGGAGAGGGTCCAGCAGAGGCCACAAAGATGATGAGGGGTCTGGAGCATCTCTCTTATGAGGAGAGAATGTGGAAACTGGGTCTGTTTAGTCTGGAGAAGAGAAGGCTGAGAGACGATGTCATTAATACATATAAATATCCCAAACGTGGATGCCAAGAGAACAGTGCCAGACTCTTCAGTGGAGCCCAGCGACAGGATGAGGAGCAATGGCCATAAACTAAAACAAGAAGTTTCACCTCAACATGAGGAAGAACTTCTTGACATTGGCAGAGCACTGGGGGGTTGAGGAGTCTCCCTCTCTGGAGACATTCCAAACCCACCTGGATGTGTTCCTGTGTCACCTGCTCCAGGTGACCCTGCCTTGGCAGGAGGGTTGGATTGAATGATCTCCAAAAGTCCCTTCCAACCCTGACAATTCTGTGATTCTGTGAAATGGTTGATTAATCAATCAGCCAAGGTCCTGTGATGTTCTTTGAGCCTGGAATTCCCTATTAACTTTTACTGAACACACAGTCATGGAGCAGTTAAGGCCATCAAGTGGAAATTTATGAAGCAAAACCCTTAGTGGAAAGACTTGTTTGTTTTAAGCATCTGCTGCTGAGCTGCATTAGAAGGCTATACTTAGTGACCTATAAAAAAAAAAAAGCAGTGGGCTTATGTAATCAGCTTGTGTTGACAAACAGCTATTGGAAAACTTAAGATAGTCCTTGAAGTTGTCATCAGTCTTGCACCCAACTTTCCAACACAGAAACATGTCACCTGGGGTAATATCCTCATCAAGCTGGGTTTCAGTTGCTACCTCCAGAAGGATAATAGTCTATAGTGAAATGTGGTGTAGCAGTAGCAGTGACAGAAAGATTTCCAAGGTTGGTTTTTTTTTTCAAATTTTATTTTATTTTATTTGTATTTGCACTGCCCTTATCCCTCAGTAGTTACTTACTTTTCCAGATCAATTATGATTCTTTGAACATAATAGAAGTTGGAGCACATTACTTGGAAATATTGCTGAAGTTGTTTCTCTCATGTATGAACAGTCTACTTGCTTGAATTAAAAAAAAACCCATGTTTCAGGTTTTCTTAAAAGTTCAAGGGACATTCTCAGAAGTTTTCTTGGAAATTACAATTACTGCACAAATATGTCTATAAAACCTAGTCTCTTTTAACTTAGTATTGAAAAATAGTGTGAAGTGGACTGCATCGAATGGTCTATAGGTACATTGTTGTAGACCCCCTTCAAAAGAACTTCAGCAGACTGGAAAGGTAAGACTCACCTTTACAAAACACATGGTGACTCATCAAATATTTGCATTTATCCTGGTGTTCACAAACCCTCCACTTCATAATTTTTACTGGTTTTTATGCCCCATGAATGAATCATGCTGTAGGTCCATGAATCTTCCTCATTCCTGCTTTTAAAAGCTGGGATCATTTACCACTACCTAGTGCTGAGATACGTAAACAATTTTAGATAAATAGTTATTGGGTTTATCAATTCAGCTATTTCATCCTTGATTTCCTTTAAAACACTGGAATAAATACAATAGAGTCTGGGGTTTTTTAACTCATGAAACCTGTGCAGTTGAATGAACTCTCTGAATGAAAAGCTGGGTCTCCACACCAAACCTTTTAGGTCTATTTTGTCTGGAAAAATGTGAGTTCCAGAGCTTGTGATCTAGAGAAACGGGAAGGGCAATAGGATGGATGTTATAACAAATTGGGGGCACAGAAACAGATGAAATATTGTAGTTAAAGAATATATGCACTAGTCTTACTCTCTCCCCTGAGATCCTCTGAGACTGCGATGGGTAGAACAACAACAGATACAAACTGGTCTTCTACACTGGCTAAATTTTTTTTAAAAAGGCTATTTTTATTTCTTGACATTACCACAGTGCTGTCTGTAATTGACTGTCTCGAAACAAAACATAAATGACCACCACTGCCAAAGTCATTGTGTATGTTTTTATAATAGTCATTGTTCACCGCATGGAGTTCTTTAATTAATCACTTGGTCTATAATTATTCACCTAGTAATAAACTAAACAAAATTTTATACATATCTGGTAGCTAGTGCTTTCTGTGTTGCAGCCTTTCAAGATGGATCTCCAAAGTCAGTTTTAACCTCGTTAATGACTGATAGAGAAACATTTTTCATGGTAGCTTTGCTGTGTACTGATGACTAATATGTGCCTCCTCTAATTCAGATTTATGCTTCTAAAGCTGCATTGTTCCTATTCAGTGTCTCAGTGAAAGAATCTTGTCGTGAGCTCGTTCAACAGCAAGTTAATTGTGTTACCGTTTCATTCTCATATTGTCACTCACAACAAGCTACAGAGCAAAGCTGATCAGAAGGTGTATCATTATCTCTGCTTTTATAGAATAGAAAATTATCACAGAAAATGAGTCACAAATTTCCTTTGGAGGTGAATCACAGAACTGAGTGTTGAACAGGTTTGTTGGGTCCACCAATCCTGCAGTGTTCGTGTTCAAGCTTGGCTCTCCAGAAATGTTTGGTGTTTGTTTTTTCACCACCAGTCTTGAAGTACCTTAATCAATTTTTGAAAGAATTAAGTACTCTGTGGAAAATATTGTGATAGAACTATTGAAGGGATTATGGTTGCTTTCCCAACAGTTAGAGCTGAAACATTTCTGTTTGCTCAACTGAGAGCTGAAGTGGGTGTTTACTGGAGCTTTATGAGTTCTGTGAAATGCATCTCTTGGGCAAGCCAGAGTCTTTCCATCTCCTGTTAAGAAAAGTTCAGTGGTGGACATGCATCAGAGAGCCTTGGTGCTGATCACAGTACTTATATCTGCTGCTGGACGTTCCAGAGACCCAGGGTACAAGAATGTTGTTTCTTTAAAGATACATGAAAGATTCCACTCATAAAAATGGGGAGGAAAAATTGCCATAGTCAATAATGCAATTCCACCCAGATGGCACAGAATGCCTGGCTTGCAAAAGAAGTCTGGATTTCCTTTCTGTATAACTGGTTATTTCGTTGGCATTCAGAAGGTGACTCATCAAATAGTCACCATTTGTCTTTGGACAGGTTATGTTCCAGGTCTTCAGTCAGAGCTCTACATCAGGAGTATGTGGAGCAGCACTGGGCTTGTCTCAGTAGTTTAGCACCTTGAGGGCACTCCTGATAGGAGTCTAGGGAAGAAAGATCCTGGCTTTCTGCTGATAGTACCAGACTTACGTGAGAAGTGGGCTTTCTGTACCTTGATCCTGCTGTTGGAAGCACAACATCAGCCTCTCTCCAGCCATGGAGTTCTTCCTGCTCTGTGAATCACTTGCACTCATCCGGTGAGGAACAGCAGGTGCTCAGACCCCTGAGGTCCGTGTTTCTGAGAGCAGTGCTGTGACCATGTTTGTACAGAAGTCCTGCAGTGTGTGCATACACACACCCCCCTAGCTGTGATTCTAGGTAGGATTGCTGCTTTCATACATGAGCAATAACATTCATAGGGCTTTATATGTGGGACAAAGGACACCTCTTCAAGAATAGGCTTCTTAGAAAAGATTATCTAGCAGCTAAGTAATTTAACACAAAATAGAACAGAATCCACAGCAATGGTAAATACAACCCTTATGCCTCAAATTTGAGAGTTGATCAGTATTTAAATTTAAATTCACTCTGTTCCCTCAGTGCCCAGCAGAATGGTACATCCAAGCAGCTGTGGTTACACACCCCTTCATTGCAGAAGTGGTAATAGATGCCCAAGAAGGAATGCAGGA